AAGTTGCAATGAAGTCACACAAAAACTAGTGCAGGAACCTTTTTCAAAGTGCTGTGGCTTTAGTGACACTGATTTGAACGGTTCAATTGCTGCTAATGGTGTGCGACATGTAATGCAACTTTGAACTCTCAATTTGCATGTCAAGTCGCACTGGTGTGAACCAGGGCTTAGTATAAAAATTAAGATCTTGTGGTATCATAGACTTTTGTCTGTTTTAATTCTATCCTTACTGGAAACCATTTTGTAGCCTCAGTCTGCACTGCCAATGCTTTTGCCTATACAGCAGAAAATCTAACATCTGGCAGTATGACTTTTCCATAATTTTAATATAAAAATAAAAGATTGCCTTGCCTGCAAAGTGAATGATTTGATCAACACAAGTTTTCCAGCTTCATGACAAAGTTTAGGGACTAAGTCTACAGTTTACACTGCTCTAAAAATTCTCAGTAGCTGTCATGTCACACTGAAACTCCCTTTATCAAAAGCGAGGCTTGCATCTTTGCACTGGGCAAATACTCGGACCACGTATAGGGGTTACCATGAGAACAAGTTCAGCTGCAAGGCCTCTAACATGACGCATCATTTAAAATATACTCTAGTTAAGCTTCTCTTTCGTTCTTAAAATCAGACCGAGTTACCTAATTATACATTGGAAGAGAGATGGATATTCTTCACAAATAATATTGACACTACCTTCATGAAGCCAGTAGTCATAAAATGACAATAACAATGCCTTCTACAAAAAGAACAAAAAAAAAAAAAAAAAAAACCACATTTTTAAACTCTGGTGGTGCTTGCTGTGCAAAAATAAATAAATACAGACCATAAGATCCCTGCAACAGTCTGAATGTCAGATAATGTAAATTGGATGAAGATGGTTATACTTGAACAAAGTATATATGGAATTAGACAGTTACAATTTGTTTGATTATAATCTAAACCCATAGATACATACTATATGGGCCTCCTTTACTGAAGCAAAACTATCACTGTTTTGAAGTGGTTACGCCATCACAGCTTTCTGGTATACCAAATATCACATGACACTGCTATATAAAATGTATGTTCTAAGTAAAGCAGCTCCTGCATACCCATATACAGATCCCAAATCATAGCCCAAGTCAGGTCTTTAGCACACCTCCACTTCTACAAACTAAAACGCAGAACATGCACCTCATTGGCCTAAAGAGAATGCTATGCCTTGCCCTGTGGGAAGTGGAGGTGGGTGGACATTGGCTTGGTCCATTATTACAGCATACCTGGGTCTAGAGGTCTCCATGGAAAGCCGCCACCGCTTACCAAAAATCAAGAGTATGTAGGTAATTTTCAGTGCACGGTTTCATTAACCGCCAGACAGGCAGGTAAATGGAGTTCCAAAGTAGGGACTGTCATTCAGAACATACAACAAATACTGTACAGAAGGAGTAATGCAACAAATAGCGCTAAGCTTGCAGAATGGAAATGTTCAATAAATAAAACTGGAGATCTGGAAATCACAAAGGGGATGCAAGATGTAGCTTTGCTGTTCTCCATGAGAAAGGTGCTGATGTCAACAGTAGACTGAGTTACCTTTTCCGGGCACGTTTTGTCTGCACAGCAGACACTGATTCCCATAGGGGTAAGTGTAGAATAAGGGTGCCTGAGTTGTGCAACTTGGAGCTTACCCCACTGAGCAGATTTAAAAAAAACCTTTTCTTCTAGGTTTTATATATCAGCCCAAGTGTTTTTACTGTTTAGTTATTAATACATTGAACCAATGCTGGAGTCAAACTGTTACACAGTCCTAACAATTCCAACACAATCATGCAGTCATTTAAATGTGTTTGGAGAAGGCGAGCTCTATCCATTAAGACATCTTCTTGACTGGTTAGAAAATCTATGGGTGATTTATGAAGAGACTGCCCAACATACTGTCGGGTTTGCAGTGACTTGCCTGTGAACAATATTCCACAGTAATGCACGGTTTTGCATTATGGCCAACTCAAAACCAGCAGCCTGTAACCAACACACTGATCCCATCCCTATGTCTGGCCTTACCTTAGGCTTCAAACTTAAATGTAATCCTAACCCTCACAGTACCAATAGCCCCATTCTTTAACCAATATTTGTCCTGTCAAAGGGATGGTACTGCTAAATAAGCCGAGAAATTTTCAGCAAGAGGAGTGGAGTGATAAAATTGGTCCTATCCAACAGATGTAATAGCTACATTGTAAAATTGTTTTTACTGATGGTACAATCATAAAACCTTCTATCTGGTCAGGTTTACTATAATTACATCTCTCATTATTTTGACCAACCTATTTCAGTTAAAGGGTCAATACATGCAAAAGTGATATTTTAGTTAGATGTGGGATCTAGCTGTGGGGTCAAACCCTACCTTTGTATATGGCTTAGATACACCAACAGTGAGATTTCCCTGCCATAATTCCTATCTTACTGTCCACCTGGGATTTCTTTTCCATATTTGTAATTTCTAGTACCTCCTGTTGAGTCTACATCACATAAAAAATAAATACAAAATGCAGCAAGGAGAATTACAGCTCCTCATGTTGGCCCATAGCAGGTGTGCAGACCCAGCAATTTAGGCCTCATGCACACAAGGCGTTTTTACAGCTATGTTTAGAAGCATCAGGTGTTTTTTTTTTTACTGCTTCCAAATGCCCCTCCATGTTATCCTATGTGTTCATGCACACAAACCTTTGGAAGTTTTTAGTAGCAGGGGTGTTTAACAGAAGGATATAAACCCATGGACAGTGCATCCAGGAGCAGCAGCGTTTTGGCAGAAAAAAAATGCTTGACACGACAAAAAGTGCCTAAACACGCAGTAACGCTAAGCGTCAATTCATTTCAATGACCAGAATAAATTATTATTCTGGACAGTTAAATGAATTAATGACCAAACGCTTGACACCTGTAAACACACCTAAATGCTTGTAAAAGTACAAACGTTTTTTCAGCCAAAATGCTGCTGCCAAGAGTAGGAGTGATTTTAAAATGTCCTGTTTGCATGAGGCCTAAAAGTAAATGTCTGGGCAAAATTAAAAATGAAAAAAAAAAACATTCAGTACATCTCCACAATACGTGTGCATTTCCATTTGGTTTCTTTTAAAACACTACTACTAGAGAAAAACACCTGATGATCCCACAAGCTCCCAACTTTCTGTTCTGGGCTGGCATCGCTGCATCTGCTGCATTGAAATTCCAAGTAAAGATGTCAGACCTTCCTGAGTTCTCCCCTCCTATACTACAGTACCCCTCTCCCTTATATGTTATGGCAAAGTGAGGGGGTTGTTCTGTAGTCCAGCAGAAGAGATCTCAAACACTGATAGCAATGCTTGGGATTTTAGAGCAGCAGAAGCAGCATTGTTAGCCCAGGACAATTAGATCCTCACTACATATCTGGCAGAATCAACAAGTATTCTTCTGTGTTTATATATACAGAGAGTGCAGCGCTAAATTTAAACTTTCAAGAACATTAGTAATATAACAAATAAGTCCAATCCAAAGGTTTTGTATGTAGAAAAAAGTTGATCAATCGAGGACCCAACAGATTCCCAAGAAATCACCAAGAGGAAAAATCCTTCACCAACACCAATCGCACTGCCTCTTACCAGATGATACTGACCCACAAAAAAGGAAAGGTCAATATGCGCCGTGTGCTTCGTGGAAGCAAACAATCGTTAGGATCCTGGTTTTCCATACAAAGTTTTTTGGATGGACCTAAGTAAGTATTATCCTCCTAGAGGACAATTCAGTTTAGAAGGAAAAAGTAATCCTCATAGTGCAGTAATTTTCACATTTTTAATGCCTGAAATGCAGTAAAACACATATATCATATAGTAATTAAAACAGCATGTCCCCATATCCAAATTGCGATTTGTTTCCGACCATTAAGATGGCCGCCACGTTCCGATGCACGATCAAGTCACACGCTCTGGCTCCTTCCTACGCGTTCATCAATTTATGTCATCAGGGGCGTGGCCAGTGTCTAGACATCGCGCCATTTATAGGTGAAGGAAACCCCTCTCTCTACTAATAATCAAAAACCGGAACCGGTAAAGATGGAGCAAGGCAATACATCCTGTCCCAAACTAATTATACAACCATTGTTTACAAGTCGCTTCCAGGAAGCACACAGCGCATATTGACCTTTCCTTTTTTGTGGGTCAATATCATCTGGTAAGAGGCAGTGTGATTGGTGTTGGTGAAGGATTTTTCCTCTTGGTCATTTCTTGGGAATCTGTCGGATTTCTGTTGGGTCCTCAATTGATGAACTTTTTTCTACATACAAAAAGCTTTGAATTGGACTTTTTTGTTATATTACGAATGTTCTTGAAAGTTTAAATTTAGCACTGCACTCTGTGTATATATATTTTTTGTTTGTATTGTAACCTGCAATATTGTGCTGGCTGCTTATGTGGAGTATACCTACTGAATCTGAATAGACCATAGCGCGATATAGTATATATTGTTTAATTCTTGTGTTTGCAGTGTTCACTGTATAAAGAGTCAAAGTATGGGGAAATGTGCATGTACTAAAGAGATGTACTGCATATGTTTATACAATTTATGTTTAGATAGTACTAACATTAAAAAAAAACCCATAAAGACTAACCAGTAGTAACTGCAACATTCAGAGCATGAATCAAAATTGACATATCCAACAAAAAAATAGAGTATTTTGATCTTACTAGTCAGTCTCCTCTCTACAGGATATCCTACAAAGATATATGGATGTCAGTATGTGTAATGCTGCATTACAGAGTACATAAAAACTTGTACTAATACAGAAATTTCTGTTAAAACAATGGCAGAAATATAGTCTCGCTCTTTGGATTAGTGTGTTGGTAGAACTGCAAGATGTGAACATTAGCGATTAACATTACAAAGAGGTAATAACAAAAGTTCATTATTTATATGATGGAAAAAAAAAATCACATGCAGGTCCTGACGAGCTCCCAACTGCTGCCGGTTGGAAGACACATGAGACACTCTGGCTTCTAATCAGTCTTCCCATTTTTCTGAGTTTTGGTCAATAAGCCATCAGTATGATAGAGGACTTTGTAGCACCCCTTAGTGATCTTCATCATCCACATGACGTTCATTATATCCAGAGACACACTGGAGATGATCCAAGCACATTGTGCCCCTAGACCCAGTCTATGAAATGCTTCTGTGCCAAAAGTGGAAAAGACACGCCCATAGTAGGTTGGTATGACAGCTATCCTGACAATGAAGAAGACGATTGTCATCAAAACTCCATTCACCATGTTGGGCACGGAATGTTTGTGGTATCCCAGCACTTCGAAGAACCACCTGCATAACTCAACAAAAGTGACAAGTTTTTAATTCCAGATGAAGCTAGACATAGTAAAAAAATAAATACGTCTAATCAAGCAGTTTTGTTAGCAGCAAAATTAATTTGACAGAATCTCGATTGTTTTTCTACCAAAATGGTCATTACCCCTTTCATGCCCAGAAGTCATTGATGCCTACATGCCCAGGTCAAATGTTGCAGCAACTGCATGAACAAGTTAACTTGACAATAACTCTATGAATAATTTGTACATCTAAATCATTTTCACAATTTTCTATGGACATATAAGGCTCTTACTTGGTACACGTTTTTTTTTTTTTTAATTCTTTATAGGTTTCACCAAAGTATACAAATAATACAGTTGTCGTTAAATTGCTAGAACTGAAATACTGTAGATAACATTATTAATGTATACTGTCACAGAAATATATGAGAAAGATGTTGAATGAAAATGCCTGATATATGACACAATTCCCTATGATCATTTTATCCCCTGGGTGTGATATCATCATGTGCAGTAGAAAGCTAGGTGCAAACCAACTTTTCTATTTATAAAGACAGGAGAAATTCTAAGGCAGGTTAAGGGTTTTAATAAAAAGAAAACCTGTTTTGGTTCTTTTATAGGTTGATGAATGCATATACAGTAGATGTAAAATAATGCTTTATTAATGTTTAGTTTTTTTGAATACTGAATTTTAATTACAGTATTAAAAATGTATAAAGATACAGTTGTGTTCAAAATAATAGCAGTGTGTTGAAAAAAGTGAATAAAGCTCAAAATCCTTCTAATAGCTTTTATTTCCATACACACAAATGCATTGGGAACACTACACATTCTATTCCAAATCAAAACATGAAGAAAAATATATCAAATTTGTGTTGTTCTTCTAACAAAATTGAAGAAAAGTAAATATTAGACTGTTCAAAAAAATAGCAGTGTTTGTATTCTTCTTTACAAACTCAAACATTCACTATATAAACTGAAAAATGTTTGAAGATTTTGCTTTCCTTTGAATCACTTAATTAATATTTAGTTGTATAAGCACTGTTTCTGAGAACTGCTGTACATCTGTGTTGCATGGAGTCAACCAACTTCTGGCACCTGTGAACAGGTATTCCAGCCCAGGATGACTGGAGTACATTCCACAGATCTTCTCTATTTCTTGGTTTTGTCTCAGAAACTGCATTTTTGATGTCACCCCACAAGTTTTCTATTGGATTAAGATCCAGGGATTGGGCTGGCCACTCCATAACATCAATCTTGTTGGTCTGGAACCAAGATGTTGCACGTTTACTGGTGTGTTTGGGGTCGTTGTCTTGTTGGAACACCCATTTCAAGGGCATTTCCTCTTCAGCATAAGGCAGCATGACCTCTTCAAGTATTCTGATGTATTCAAACTGATCCATGATCCCTGGTATGCGATAAATAGGCCCAACACCGTAGTATGAGAAACATCCCCATATCATGATGCTTGCGCAACCAAGCTTCACTGTCTTCACAGTGTACTGTGGCTTGAATTCAGTGTTTGGGGGTCGTCTGACAAACTGTCTCCTGCCACTAGACCCAAAAAGAACAATCTTACTTTTATCAGTCCACAAAATGTTGCACCATTTCTCTTTAGGCCAGTCAATGTGCTCTTTGGCAAATTGTAACCTCTTCAGCACGTCTTTTTTTCAACAGTGGGACTTTGCGGGGGCTTCTTGAAGATAGCTTGGCTTCACATAGGCGTCTTCTAATTGTAACAGTACTCACAGGTAACTTTAGACCTTCTTTGATCTTCCTGGAGCTGATTGTTGGCTGAGTCCTTGCAATTATGGCTATTCTTCTATCCATTCGAATGGTAGTTTTTTTTCGGTTTCTTCCACGTCTTTCAGCTTTTGGTTGCCATTTTAAAGCATTTGCGATCATTTTAGCTGAGCAGCCTATCATTTTCTGCACTTCTTTATATGTTTTCCCCTCTCCAATCAACTTTTTAATCAAGGTCTGCTGTTCTTCTGAACAATGTCTGGAACGACCCATTTTCCTCAGAATTTCAGAGAGAAATGCACTGTAACCAGCATGTACAACATTTGCTGCCTTCCTTCCTTAAATAAGGGCAATAATTGCCACCTGTTTTTCAAAGAATGAATGGCCTCACTAATAGTACTCCACACTGCTATTATTTTGAACATGCCCCTTTCAATTAGTGATTCAATTACACAGAATCAGCAGCATGCATGTCATGACTGTTGGGTCTGTTGGATTTCTATTACTCTACTACACCTGCTAGTAAATTATTTGCCATGTAGAAATATCATTTCTACCAAAAACAGTGATTGAATAGGTTAGTGATGTCTGACTGCTATTATTTTGAACACAACTGTATATGGGTGCAGTGCTAAACAAATTTTAACATAGAAAATTATATACCATTAATCAGTGAAAAGACCTCAGTGCAAGTGAAATACATTATATTATATAGAACTAAATTCACAAGAAAAAATGTAAATGTGAAAAAATTATGAAAAAAAAATCACTAGTCCATATACCAATGTGTATAATAGGTCGACCAATTCCTGAACATATATGGTGCATAAATTCCTCAATATGTGTGCATAATACTGTGAAAATCCACTGTGCCAAAGCCACCACCAGCACTTCACACCAGAAAATGTGGCTGCCAAAAGATATGAGCAGTAACAGCGCTCTATGTAATCACCCAGATGAAAACAGCTCTCTCATGGAAGCAGTCCTGTTTTATGGATCCAATGACCAGATCTTCATGATCGAGAGTGCGTGAATATAGAGTATGACTGTATGGGATAGATGCACACCAAACGGAGCCAGATACAACTTTCTTGTTTTTAACCTCCATTATGTTTTGTACTGCATTGAATAAATACTACATTATGGAAGTTATATCTGGCTACTTTGGTGAGCGTCTATCCCATACAGCCACACTCTATATTTATGCACCCTGGACTTTGAAGATGTGGACAGTGGATCCATTTAAAGGGACTGCTTCCATGAGAGAGCTGTTGCTTTTTTAGAACTTTTGGCAGCCATATGTTCCACTGAGTGCAGAGTGCTGGTGGGGGTTTTGGCACAGTGGATTCCGTCATGTACTTTGCACATCTTGAATGAAGTTAAGGAGAAATTTATGCACCATATATTCAGGAACTGGTGGACTTATTATACACATTGATATATAGACTATTGATTGGTCTCATATTTGTTCATTTTTTCACATTTAGGTTTTTTCTTGTGAAAATATATATAATATATATTTTTTTACTTGCACTAATTAATGGTATAATATTTGGGATGGTAAAATTTGGTTAGCTCTGCACCCACATATCTTTACATACACTGAAGGGAATTGGGCATATTATTCTCTGGTTCTAGCGGATTCATTTGTCCACTAAAGGCTGAGTATTAGAAATATGGCACTGCAGCTTAACACTGCAGTTCTGAAGTTGAAAGTGGTCATCTGCAAGACGAAGGATTTCATGTTTCTCACTGAAGCCTTCCACCTGCATGTGGCCACTATGTCCTAGCTGACATAATGATCACATTACTGGAAACCAAGCGGATTGGTTCCTGATCATTGGTGGCGACCAGAGCAGTCAGTGACAGCCAGGATTAAGAGCCACCAGCTGCACTAAATGTTGGCTGGTGGCTCTGAAAAGAAAAAGGTTTATAAACAAACATACAGCATCCTCAGCTGATGCCCCAATTATATACAGGTGGCAAGTGGAAAAGGGGGGGGGGGGGGGGGGGTCAGTTCTGATTGGAAGATTTTCCCTTACCTCCTGTTCTATTGACACCTATAAAATTTTGGGTTTCCCATCACTATTTGTGCCAGTAATTATGGTCCCCAAATCAAACAGAGGGTGAATCTCCCTATTGGTATGTGCAGTGCCCCTTTAGGTTTAATACCTCCTGTTGCTATGGCATAGATGGGGTCAGTGCCCATATAAATGCCAGCTGTGGGTATGACCCAGTCAGTCAGGGTTTGGGAGCAGGACACCCCAAAGCTGCCAAGATGTAAACTTACACTGAGCTGATCCAAAGGGCCCTTAGCGGGGCTGAATCCCCAGGCAACATGGCACAGATCGTGTGAGGACTAGCTGGAGTCACCCTGTCTACTCCTGACCTTCTTCTGCAGTTCCTGTAGTGGGGTGTGGATGGCCTTGAGGGTCTGGACAGAGTCCTTTTATGTGAGTAGTAGCTGAAACCTGGGAATAGATGGCATCAGTTTGTCTGGCTGGGCAGAGGTATAGAAGGGAAATTAGGAAGAAACTGGTATATTAATTGAAGGACCTAGTCACCCCTAACCCTCATTTACAGGTCCTGTAACTCATTGGTGGACAGCCTAAGGCTGAGGAATTCGTATATCGGAAAAAGTGATCCCAACTCTCTGGTGCTCCTGAAAGACTACCAAATGTCTATTCATGCTAATGGCGCTCTGTACTGAAGGTTCTGGTAGTAAATATGTTGACTGTGATGTGTTATGGAAGAATCATGAAGTTGCAGTAAAGTACTGAAAATGCATTGAAGCGTGGACATTCCTTTATTCCAAGTGGTGGGATGCATACCGGAAATGTGTGAGTGGGCCTCTGTCCAGGAGACATGCTCTATCCAAGAAGAAGCAGAGTGGGACAGGTACAACTTGGCACCAATATCTGCCAAATCACAAGTCCTGTACATCCCCAGTGGGGGCAAAGACAGCAATATATATTTAGAAAGGTCCTTATTCTTCTTTACCCGATACAAAACTTAAAAACTATGTATATAACTCTGTATACACTTTAAAAATCTGTAAGCTGCAATTGCCTACCTCCCTTTTTCTCTTATGCTATCTTTTGGCCTTAATAATTTAAGTCATTAACCCTGCATGTTAAAGATAAGGGAATCGCAAAACACCAAAACCTGAGACAGGCATGTAGCATTTTGAGAAGTAGGTCAACTCCATATTTCTTTCATTATAGATTTTCTTTCAGTTTGAAGACAGTCAATTTTAAAGATCTTTACGATAAATTACAGCAGAGTGACTATGACCTTTGCTGTTTCTTTATTCGCCAATAAAATGTATTTTAGGGAACATTAAAAAAATGTCCAAGGTCAATCAATGTCTACAAAGTGTTTAATAGATACTGAACAGGCAGGAGGTCAGCATGCACAATCTAAAAAAGCTTGCTCCAGGCTCTTAAAAGCCACTAGGACAGGCTAAATGCAGGATTTGATGTTAGGGTATGGGTCCATTGACTAAACAGGCTAAGCACATATGGGAAGGGGGCACAGACTGCACACCAAAATAAAGTCTTTGGAAGTGATGAATTCCCAAATCAACAGCAACAGAATGGTCTGTGAAGGAAATCTATACGAGTTCAGATATCTAAAGAAACCTTGTCACCAACTTAAAAATTGCAGAAAAATCTTGTATTTTAAATGCTTAATTGTAGTGTTTTTCTTTTTATAAATCTTCACCTCTTCCCACCTAACCTATATTATGGATGCCATTGCAGGAGAGGGAAGCATAAAAATGTCACATTAGTGACAACTCTGGGGCTGTTGACATAACATCCAAGATGGAAGTGCCTTGTAGCAGCCCCAGGGCTTCTGGATGTTTATAAAATGTATGTTTTACAGGTAAATAACAAAAACTATGTGTTAAATGCATTTCTAGTCTTATGAAAGATTTTTATTGATATAAATAGGCTAGTGACAGGGTCTCTTTAATACCAAATCTCTTTTTTTAATGTTTTACCTAACTAATTTTTTGCAATAATAATTCAATTTTCAGGAAAGCTTAAAGTATAAGTTCCTGTTTTGAGCAAAATTCAGCTAGTCCCCCTCTCTAGGCCTCGATCCAACCAGCTGGGTGTACATTCCCACCTGCAATTCTATACACACCTTCCCCTGCATCTGTCTGCAACCTATCAGTAAAATCTAGAGCTGGGCTGCTTATGACTGCACACTAACATCCCTTGATAAAAATGGGATGTACCCAAGATGTAAGTACAGACCTGTGTAAAGCAGAGGGGGTGACACCAGTGGTTGTATCGAGGTGGAAAGGCCAAATTTTTCCCACAGTCTTCTCTTCTCTGTGCTGAACTTCTGAAGCTTGTATGAGTGTTCAGAAAAAAGGGTTGGAGAGCTTAAACTAAACACTACACAGCTCAGTGAAGAAAGCTCTGAGAGCTGATTGGGGGGAAGAGACAAACTGAGACTGTCAATCTGCTGGAACTCCCTTCCCTGTCACCATTTTTCTTTTGGTGTCAGGAAAAACTGTCAAAATAGAATCTTTCTGATAGAAGAGGAACAAAGCAGCATACAGAAATGACATTTATTGCTTTCAATTGAGACATGTACACACTATGGAGGGATATGCTTTGTTCATATTTCATGTCAGAGGTTTACAACCACTAAGCAATATCTGCAGAAGAAGAGGGAGTTGAGTTCTTTAAAGCTTGTTGTGTAAAAAAAAAAAAGTTATTACATATACAAAATGAACATGTAAAGTATTCAACAGTATTGTTACAAGTGCACTGATACAATCACCTTACGGATCTATTTTTGAATATTTTCTGTAGGTCAAACAAGCTCCTTATTTCCCTTTCTCTTAAGTATGATTTGTTTATTATTTTAAAAATAATAATAAAATAATAAAATCTGCCTGTAAGATCACTTTATCTGCTCTGCGGAATGCTTTTGAACAGAGCAGCCCCAATCCTCTTTTTCTCAGGTCTCCCGTCAGCGCTCCTGGCTCCGCCCTCCTGCCAAGTTCCCCCACAGCAAGCAGCTTGCTATGGGGGCACCTGAGCAAGCTTCCTTCCGAGCAGCTGCTCTGTATGTTCATTCACACACAGACACAGCTTGACCCTGCCCCACCGCTCTCTCATTGGCTCACTAGCTGTGACTGACAGTAGCGGGAGCCAAAGGCTTCTGCTGCTGTCTCAGCAAATGTGGAGGGAGAGACCCAGGACAGCTGAAGCTCTTGTGCACATCGCTGGATCAAGATGGAGCTCAGGTAGGTATTGAGAAAGGGACTAGGACTGGGGTAGGGGCCCCTCCACACAGGTTTTTTTTACTTTCATGCATAGAGTGCATGAAATTAAAAAAACATGAGCCTTTATAACCACTTTAAGTAGGAACAATGGCAACTGGGCAAAGGGTCAGAACAAGCCCATCATATTAGACTGCATGGGGACACAGGTTAGTTCATTAATCTTTGGGGATGTGGTCATAAGGCAGCAGGAGGTCTCTAGGAATAAGTATAGGCCTAGTCAAAAAATTGCTTGTTTACACCTAAAGTCAGTATGTAGCACTACTTATATATGCAGATTAAGCAGCTTGTGCTATTATAGGGGGTGGATGTATGTGATAACATTTATTTTCTGAGTAGGAAAGCAACGCACATGCTACAGCAAAACTGCTGATTTACAGTTAGACCCTGCCCAGACAAATGTGTCAAACGTTTGGCAATCACAGCCCTAATTTGTATACAGTATGTACTTTTATCAAACCTGAAATAAGAACTATACAGATAACAATTATTTAGGTGTTACCTACCGTTGATTGACAAAAGGTGTGGAGAATTCAGCTAGGAGTCGGAAAATTACCAAAATATGGCAACATTCCTTCACCCTGGAAAGTGAATTGATGGTTGTAAAAACAATTATTACAAACAAGAAACAGGATACCACAGAGTTGCTGGACAAATTCCTTTACCCTCAACAGAGGGAGAAATAGCATAGCAGTTCAGAGTTATAGCGACATAAGTAATTCCCTTTCATTTTAAAGGAGTTTTCCACTTTCTGCCAGGAGGTAATATAACCCGCCTTTGTGGAACAATTATGACCTGAAGGGGTCATAAACACATTTGCCACAAAGTAAACCTGTCATGTGAGAAATATGGGGACTTCTATTTCTGATCTGAAAGTATAGAATAGTATAGAAAAAAATCAGCAATGACAGCGGGGCAGCTAGAATTTTCAAAAGGAGAGGTGAGAACATAACAGGTTTTATACACATTGGCCTGTGCCTAGGGCAGTATTATTTGGAAGCAGCACACATTCAAGGACTATAAAAAAATGAGGGTATTTTCCCATTGTCTGGCCACTACTGAGTAAATTCGAAAACTATGGTAGATGGAGTACAAACTGAGGCAGTTAAGAGGAGTCAAATATTTATGCATCTCAGGCAAAATGCAGTTGTCACCCATATCTTTTGTTGGATAGTTTGTACTGTTCAAAAATAGATGTACATAAAGTAGATACAAGCTACGTCCAACACTGTATTATTGTTATGGCTTTTTTGCAGTTATAAACACTTGGAAAAAGGAATGGATATCTACAAACTGATCCCATTCCTTATATGTACCAGTATTTGACAGTAGGATGTGTCAATACAACACTGGCAGGAGTAATACCATGTGCATCCCTGCTGTTCAGCAGGTTTCAATGTCTTAAGAAACTCCCAAGTTGCTGAAGGACTCAAAGCTTCTGGGATATTCTCTGGCACAATGTAGATTCGGTCTCAGAAAAGCCAAAATTATTTTAGCAGGTTTTGTCATACACCTGCAAGGTCAAGGTTGATAGAACATTTGGAGCTGCTTATCAGCATACTGAATCAGCTAGTCATAATCACTCTGCCAATGGAAGGGTTTTCTATCTCATAAACAGTGCCTTGAAAAAGTATTTATACCCCTTGAAATTTTTCAAATTTTGTCATGTTACAACCAAAAAGTAAATGTATTTTATTGAGATTTTATGTGATAGACCAACAATAAGTGGCACATAATTGTGAAGTGGAACGAAAACAATAAAGGTTTTCAAAACTTTTTGCAAATAAATATTTTAAAAGTTTGGCATGCATTTGTAGTCAGCCCCCTTTACTCTAATACCTCTAACTAAAATCTAGTGGAACGAACTGTCTTCAGAAATCACCTAATTAGCAAATAGAGTCCACCTGTACGTAATTTAATCTCAGTATAAACACAGCTTTTCTGTGAAGCTCTCAGAGGTTTGTTAGAGAACATTAGTGAACAAACAGCATCATGAAGGTCAAGGAACACACCAAACAGGTCAAGGATAAAGTTGTGGATAAGTTTAAAGCAGAGTTAGGTTATACAAAAATATCCCAAGCTTTGAACATATCACAGAGCACTGTTCAATTTATCATCTAAAAATGGAGAGTATGGCACAACTGTAAACTTACCAAGACATGGCCATCCACCTACACTGACAGGCTGGGCAAAAGGAGAGCATTAATAAAAGAAGCAGCCAAGAGGACCATGGTAACTCTGGAGGAGCTGCAGAGATCCACAGCTCAGGTGGGAGAATCGGTCCACAGGACAATTATTAGTCATGCACTCCACAAATCTGGCCTTTATAGAAGAGTGGCAAGAAGAAAGCCATTGTTGAAATAAAGCATTAAGAAGTCCCCTTTTGCAGTTTGCAAGAAGCCATGTGAGGGACACAGCAAACATGTGGAAGAAGGTGCTCTGGTCAGATGAGACCAAAATTGAACTTTCTGGCCTAAAAGCAAAACTTTATGTGTGGTGGAAAACTAATACTGCTCATCACCCTAACACACCATCCCCACTGTGAAACATGGTGGTGTCAGCATCATGTTGTGGGGATGCTTTTCTTCAGCAGGGACAGGGAAGCTGGTCAGAGTTGTTGGAAAGATGGATGGAATTTAACAACTTTTCTTCTAAGATTGCCCTGTATTTGAGTCTGCAAAAGACTGGAGACTGGGGTCGAGGTTCACCTTCCAGCAGGACAGCGAACCTAAACATAGAGCCAGAGCTAAAATGGAATGGTTCAGATCAAAGCATATTCATGTTTTAGAATGGCCCACTCAAAGTCCAGACCTAAATCCAATGGAGAATCTGTAGGAAGACTTGAAAATTGCTGTTCACAGATGCTCTCCATCCAATCGGACAGAGCTTATACTATTTTGCAAAGAAAAATGTCACTGTCTAGATGTGCAAAGCTGGTAGACACATATCCAAAAAGACTTGCAGCTGTAATTGCAGCGAAAGGTGGTTCTACAAAGTTTTGACTCAGGGCTGAACACAAATGCACGCCACACTTTTCAGATATTTATTTGAAAAACATTTTGAAAACCAATATAATACATTTACATTTTTGGTTGTAACATGACAAAATATGGAAAAAATCAAGGGGTATGAATACTTTTTCAAGGCACTGTAAGACTGTGGAAATCTCATTTAATATGTCATAGAAAACATGTTCACACAGTCAGCTTGTAAGGAATGGTAAGCATCTGAAAATATGGAAAGAATAAACTGGTTTCAAGAAAGATTCAAGAAAAATGCCCACATGAAAAAAATACTAAAACGTTAATTATATGAACAAGTCCTTACAGGTGCCACTTCTGACCAACATATATTAGGTATTCTGTTCCAAAAAGCCTTTATAGTAATTTTTATGCCCAAAGGTAAATGGTTGCTTGTCTACAATTCCCAACTGGCACCAACTGAAATGGAATCATATTGTTGTTAGAGTTAATGCTATTGGCCAACACGATCAGTAAAAAGGCATGTAGCTGCATGAGGGAAGATTAGTAAAAACAATTTTATTGTTTTTTCTCACAAGATCAAATTTTCAAATTAAGTCTAAGAGGGCTAAGTTACATCTTATTCGCCATCGGGTGACACATGCTCAATGATGCTGATTACCAAATAAATATTCATTTTAATCATTCAACTACTTAAGTAAATGCTTAAGTAACAATAGGTTGATCAAGGTACCTAAATTTATTTCAGTTTGTCCAGCACACTGTTATATCCTTTTGCGTAAACCAAATTTATTATACTTCAGAAGGAGTTTATTTTTCATTATGGGGATGTACCATTTACATCCAAGTTTGAACTCCTGCTTTAGATCTACTTGCTTAGCAATAAAACTGGGTTCCTCACCTATTCTTCCTCCAACGTATCTGTTAAGTTACAGACAAAAGCCTACCATTTGCAGGTAAAGATTCAAACAATATTTACGGTATCCCACCATTCATGGTGTAAGAACAATAGTTCTTTACTCCATAAGAAACTTGAAGACCATGGAGGGGGGGCAATACCAACTGCTTTTTTGCAAAGAGGAGTCTCATGCAGGAGTTCACAAGTGGATTAAAATGAGAAATCCCTTCTATTATAAGCAGATAATAAAGAAGACAGATTTCCAGTACTATACAAGATTCATTTCTATATAGGCCTACAGATGAACTGGAGTTATGCGTGTAAAGCAGTGAACAGAATTCAGCCCATACACGACAAACACATAGAAAGTACCCGTGTGTATTAGCTATAACAAGACTGACCAAATCATGTCCTCAACAACTAAATGCAGGTTAAGAATTTTGGAACCAATTTACACAGTGATCTAAACCTTGTTTAAAAAGACGTTGTCTTACATAATAATTTGAATAATCAGACACATTCTTATAAAAATGATCTCCACTTGCTTCCACTTGCTCTGAATTTGACTTTTGAGACAGGGAGTCAGAGGTCACCTAAAGTCCGACAACTTTTGCCCTGGCAACCTCAGAAACTTATTAACAACTTGTGATCACACACGATAGTATTATATATTATCTGGTATTTAGGAGAAGAATTAACAGGGATTTCTCAACGGATGCATGCTCAGAAGTTTGGAAATTGTACCCGCTGTTGGGCAGTCAAGAGGGCAGCAGATGTCTGACCTCTCACCTGTAAATTAAGAAAAAAGTCAGATACAGGCAAAGTAAAGAAGACTTAACAGGGCAGATATAAATATACAGGCTTGAAGGATTTACATATAACAGTTGTATAAAAACCTGTATATTTATAATAGCCTAAAGCGGAGCTCCACCCAAAGGGATTGGTCCCCCACTCCTTGTTGAGGAATGGCATCTTGGGGGGGGGGTTTGAGAGTGGATACCCAAAATTTACAGGTACCCACTCCTGCTTCTGCTGCGAATGCCTAGGCGATTGGAAGCGGAAGTTGTCTTCCCCCTCTCTTCCAGTAGTCTTCTGGGACATGTGACAGGTCCCAGAAGACTACGGAGTCATTCAGAAAGCGTAACAATACTCATGCATGCGCAGTGGGCATCCAGCTGTGAAGCTGTGAAGCCCACACTGCAGATGCCAGTGCCAGGAGCACAGGTGAAACTGGCTGCGGGCAGGACACTGCGGGCTTGAGATACAGGTAAGTGGCTATTTTTTAAAAGTCATCAGCTACAGTTTTTGTAGCTGCTGCCTTTTATTTTTTTACAGTTTGACTGAAATCCTGCATTGAGAGACAGTGTACAATTCTTTTTTTTAATGACAAAGGCTAGACAAATATTGTATTCTAGTTCCAGGAAGACATTGGTGGGTTAAATGATCCAGTGACTATTTTTTTTTTCGAAGGGCTCTTCGAATCATATCATAAATATCATACCCTTGTTTGTCTTTTTGCTGAGCCTTCATTTGTAAAATTACAAAATAAAGTGCCATGCTCCTCTATTTTTACATAATTTTTACATGATATCAATAGACTAAGAACATAATCCAGAATAACAAAAGTAACATAAAAAATTAGCAGGATATCCTGCTGTCCAAGTCTTCAAGGCAGATAAGAAAGTTATTCACTAAAACCAAT